GGCTTTGCAGGTTAATCTAGAGTGCAGATACGGACTGAAGAAGGACTTCTGGTTTGGTGCAGTTACATTTTGGCGCCGTCTGTGGGAATCTGAACTAAAGGCTCCTTTGTTGCTCTTACCATGGTTAAAACTAGGTCAGCCCGAGGTGGAAACTCGTCTCAGCCTCTTGGACGAGGTCAGGTCCCCAGCAACCTTCCACCTCATCCTCCACCCCCAATCCCAAATACATTCCCTCCTGTTCATCATGCAGAAGGAGAAGACAAAAATCAACCACACAATTTGGTTAGCAACTCAACCTCTACTGCTAACCAAGACGTAGTTGCAACTCAGCTCGCTGCCATGCAACAACAGTTTGGTGTCTTTCAGCAAGTGCTGGCTCAGTTGTTAGCCCGGAACAATCCTGGTGATCCACTCATCAATCTACTTAATCCTGCCCCACCACAACCCCCAGCCCCACCACAAAATCCTGAACCAGTTCAACGTGCTCCCGCTGTTAGTGAATCTCAGGGCCAATCTCACATTGCACCAGTTCAGCAACCTCCTCATGATGATGTCACTCGACATCTAGATAGCTTAGAAAGGCTAGTGGTTGAACAGCGAGGTGCCCCACCTCCATACCCTGCTGTTGACTCCGTACCCCACCCTCTCAATACCAATATTGTATTGGAACCCTATCCCACTGGCTTCAGAATACCACAACTTGAAACTTATGATGGGACGAAGGACCCCGATGATCATCTACATGCTTTCTACTCTTGCATGCAGGCCCAGAACGCCTCTGACACGTTAATGTGCAAAATCTTTCCCTCTACTCTCCGCGGTAATGCTCGAACCTGGTACTACAGTCTGCCTCCGAGGTCAATCAACTCTTACACAGAACTGGCATCTGCTTTTGCCACAAAGTTTTCCAGTAGAAGATTGATAAGGAAAACCACTTCTGAACTAATGCGAGTTAAGCAGAGGGACGGAGAGTCTTTGAAGAATTTTATGAGCAGATTCAATGATGCAGTGCTGGAGGTTAATTCTTTCGACCAAGCTGTGGGAATTACAGCGGTGATCTCGGGCCTTGGCCATGAGAGGTTCTGAGATAGTCTGCTCAAACATCCTGCCAACACCTTCAGCGAGGTAAATGATAGATCGTTGAAATTCATAACTGCTGAGGAATATGCTCTGTCGCAAAACCTAACTCCTACTAAGAGCCAACACCCGGACTGGAGAGATGAGAATCCGGACAGGAAACGGATGAAGACAACACAGAACCGAGGTCCGATGTCGACCCCGAGATTCGGAAGGCCGAACTCAGCACCTCCGCAACAACCTGCAGGTAAACCTCCAGTTAATTGGACTCCTTTTAATTTACCGAGATCACAAATCTTTATGCAGATTAAGAATAAGATGGACTTAAGACGTCCGGGTCCAATGAGAACTGCTGCTGCTACCAGAGACCATACTAGGTACTGTGATTTTCATCAGGATCACGGTCATACAACAGAGCAATGTAATAGTCTGAGGTCCAAACTGGAAAGTTTGGCACAGAAAGGAATGTTGAATGAGTACATCCAGAGAGTGGAACAGCCAAGGTTTGTCAGAGAACAAGGGTCACAGCATCAAGCAATCCGCAATCCCCCAAACAGACAAGGTATGGGATATCAGCAAGCCCCACCCCCACTCCCACCACCAGCTAGAGTAATACACATGATTACGGGAGTCTGGAAGCCAGTGGACTGAGCTCTAAGCAGCGAAAGCTGTATGTCAGAGAGGTTAAGCATCAGAACCGAGCTCAGAAGCGAAAATTTGACGATGCTGAGTGGAAGAATCAACCCATCACTTTCACATCTGCTGATCT